CAAGTAAAGTAGTGTAGTTTATGACTTGAAAGTCACAACCTAAACATATTTTTCCCCATTAAGTTTATTGGTACATTTAAAGCAAACAATACAGTTATATTTATCATTGGGATCTTGTACCTTTACATGACAGGTCTTGGTCATATTTTCAAGAATAGGGAAATGTTCCTAGAAAATGCACTTTTAAGTGTAATTAAATAATATATAAACCTTTCTATTTTCTGTAGTAGCATGATTGTAGCTATATTAAAGTCAAATTCTCGGGCCGGGAATTTAGCTCAGTGGTTCCACCGCCTGCTTCAGCAAGCTCAAGGTCCCGAGTTCGATCCCCAGTACCAAAAAAGAAAAGTCAAATTCTCTTGGGGGGATGCTTTGTTGAGATAGTGTGTCACTCTGTAGTTCAGGCTGGGCTTTATTTCACTAGCCCAGGATGGCTTCAAAACTCCTAACTAATGGACATCCTCCTGCCTCAGCCTCCTGAGTGCTGGAATTACAGGCTGTGCACCACCACACCCTGCAAGAGGCAAATTCTTTTTTTTTTCCCCCTCCAAGGCAAGGAGTAGAGCAGGGCAGAGACCAAGGCCAGTCCCTAAAAATAAATTTCCAACAGCAGAGGAATTAGCATTTTCCTATGATAATTTCATTTTTGTTAATTAAAGGAAGTAAAATACACCATTTGTAGTTATCTTTAGCCTTTCTTAAAATAATTATAGATAGATCCTACAGGAAAAATTACATCAGTAGTTTTTGAATAGTATTCAAATTTCTTCCCCTTCACAATAGTATCATTCTATTAAATGATACTTATTTTATGAAAAGTTTTTTACATCAGCATGTTGAAACACGTATTTACAGTTTCTTTTTGCTGCCTTTGGGAGTCTCCATCCCATTTGGATTGCTGTATTATATTATAATAGATATGTTGTCTGACAACAGCATGCTAGGAGCAGGGATAATAATACTTAGTCTAATTATGCATGCTTTATGGACTATGATGGCCAGAACGTTTTAAGAGGTATATATTAAGAATGTCTTTTGGGTCAGGCATTTAGCTCCGTGGCACCATGCCTGCCTCTTAAGCACAAGTTCATGAGTTCGATCACTGGTACCAAAGAAAAGAATATCTTTTGATATAGTTAAGTTTTTCTAACTTTAAAGTAGTCACATAATAAGTAAGTTTTTCTTTAGCTGACTCAATGTTCAGTGGAATCTTCAAGCTTTATTTTCCCCTTAAAAAATGGGAAATAGTTAAGTTAAATTAAGTTTTGATTTTATATTTGGGCATACTTAAATCTTAACCTTAACCTATGCACTTCTACTATAAAGAATATACTAAAATTAATTGCCAAAATAGGGTTTGTTGTAAGCACAGGGATAAAGGAAGATTGCTGTGTCCTTTGCCCCAGGTAAAACAGTTCTTAGAACTAGGATGTATTTTTCTTTGCTTACGTGACTGGATTCACTTCTAGTTTGCTAAGATATGATAAAGCGAAGTGCGTACTTCTCTTTTTTTTCTGCGCCTATTTTTAAGTGAAAATGCTACTTATTCTCATTTTTCTCCCTAGTCTTTTCTTAACAATGTCGTTAAATTTTGTAGTCGTGCCAGTCAGTCATGTGAACTCTGTGCAACATCTCCATTTACACTGTTTCACACGTCACTCACAGGACATGCTCTCACAAAGAACTGTTTTGTTCTACTGCTGATCCACCCTAAAGAAACCAGTTTCCAAACTATGCAAGGCTTTGTAAATCAAGATGAACTGGTCAGAAATTGAAACAGAAGCAAACAGGAAACCAAGTAATGCTGCCTAATTAATAATCTAACAGGTACATGTACTAAAACTGAAGGTAATGAAAGGTCCTGCATTCTAAGAATGTTCTCGTTAGAGAGTTTATCACATTCATATTGGAATCACACTGAAAAGGTGACACAGAGGCCAGTGAGAACAAGTGATCAACTGTGAACTTCAATTATATGCATCTCTTAGCCACATCTCTTGGCCAGCGCTGTGTGTGATAATGAACAGTACCAAGGTTGAGAGAAACAGGAGTCCGGTGTGTAGGTCCAGGCTTCCCTAGCCTGCAGCATTGGCCCAGGAAGGTGCAAACAGTGGCAAATAGAGCTTACTTTTCTCAGGAACTCTTCTCTGTCAGGAAGAAAGGAACCGACCTCTACACAATTCGTAAGTCACAAAATATATTTTTCACCAGAGTTAGTTACAAAATATTTATGGATTAACTTACGGTTTTTTTAAATATCCTTTGAAATATTTGCCCTTCGAATAAATGTTTTGTCAGATTAGTTCACTTTATTCAGAGCTTTCAAAAATACAAGCACTTTTTCAAAAGTTTTTTCTTTCAGACGATCTAATCTAAGCATTAGCTTTTAACTCACTATCAGATAGCTTCCCAAAGACTCTGTATCTTTGTGATGTGTTTTTCCCCTTGAGAAATTAAAGAAAGGAAATAAAAGTTTAAAAAAAATTAAATGCCCTCTACTCATTTCCAACCTTCCTCATCCAAAAGAAATCAGAATTCTCAGAATACTTTGTCGAAGTCCTGAACCAAATGAATATGTTAAAAAATATAAAACTATTACAGAGAATATATGATACATTTTAAAATGTCATCTGAACAGTTTTTGAGAAGAGAATTGTAAGTAAAATGTTTTCTTAAAGTCCTTTGCACATTAAGCTATTCACATTCACAGATACACTCTATTCTGATGAAACCAGGTTAGCAGGAAGAACTTTTCTGAAACAAAGGCTTAAAATGAGTAAAGAATTGCCTTCTTGGGCAGGGGATTTAGCTTAGTGATTCTGTGACTGCTTCACAAATGCAAGGTCCCAAACTCAATCCCTGGTACAAAAAAAAAAAAAAAAAAGAAAAAGAATTGCCTTCTTGTTTTCAGCCTGCTTCTCCTTGGCACACCTTAAATTTCATGGTCTGCTCTCTCTAACAGAGTGATAATTCAAGATTCTTTGATTTCCCAGTTTAATCAACTCCCTGGTAGCACTGAATTGTTGAAACAATCTTGAAATGTAAACTAGTTTTTAATTACATTTTATTAAGGAGTAATTAACATATAGCAAAACACATTTGTCTTAACTGAGTTTAACCCATTAGGATATGATATATGATATACATCAGGATTAATAGGTAAGATTCTTAAAATATACCTACCAGAAATTTTAAAAGTTTTCTAAATAATCGTGAGCTAAATCCTGTTAAGAACCATTGCCTTTGGAACCGGGATTTAGCTCAGTGGTTCTGGTACCTGCCTTGAAAAGCACAAGGGCCTGAGTTTGATCCCCGGTGCCAAAAAAAAGAATCATTGCCTTTGTAAAGAACAAAATTTGAATAATATACATAAAATACATAATCTATCATGAAATGTTACATAAAGTTAGGTTATTGTTTTATAAAACATTTATACTTTTTATGTGTCTTTTTATAAAGCTTGCCATGCTGGCTCTGGTGAAATTCTCAATTTGTTTCTCTATTTTTTTTTTTTAAGAAAATCAATGCAAAACTTCATGATGGAGTATGTCAGCATTGTAAAGAAGTTCTTGAATGGCGGGTAAAATACAGCAAATATAAACCTTTATCAAAACCTAAAAAATGGTAAGTAGCATATGTATATATGTATTCTATTCATTATTTTACTTCCTAACTTTCAAAATTATGTTCAAATAAATATTAAGTAAATTTAAAACTGATTTCATTCTCCCTTGTAGAATTTTGTCTTGCATGCTGAATCTTGGTTTGTGAAGGCAGACATATGGAAAAGTACATTCATCACTCTCTCTTTTTTTTTTTTTTTTTTGGTTTTTTGAGACAGGGTCTCACTATGTAGTTGAGACTGACCTGGAACTCACTGTGTAGCCCAGGCTGGTCTCGCACTCACAGCCAATCCTCCTGCCTTAGCCTCCCGAGTGCTGGTATTACAGGCATGTGCCACCACGCCTGGCTTCATCCGTTCTTTTCATCAATAAATAATGTATCATTTTGGTAAAACCTTATTTATAAAAGCCAAGTTGGGACAAAGAAGAAAAAGTTTATTTTGCAAAATTCTGTCTTTCACCAATTAAGTAACAATAGATACTATAGATTATTAGCTCTTTTTTTCTTTTTTATTTTTCTTGGTACCGGGGATTGAACTTGGGACCTTGTGCTTGCGAGGCAGATGGCAGAACCACTGAGCTAAATCCTCAGCCCTAGATTATTAATTCTTAAAAGAGTTCTGACCTTTTGAATTTTTTTTGAAACTTTTAATAATTTTTATATTTCCTCAAGCTAGAGTGATTTTATTTTAAAAAATATCTCTGCAGATCAGTAAACATGTACTGTTAATACTTTGAATTATTTTAATCTTTGTTAAATTCCAGTAAAGTTAATATTTTTATTTGAAATAGCTTGTATAATCCCATTCCAATGTACTTTCCCCTTATTGAAATACCCTTTCATCTGTATATCTTTGGGGTTTTTTTTTATTAGTGTATGTTTGCAATACATAATGAATACAGTTCACCTTAGGGAGTTGGTATAGTATTACATCTTAGTTCTTTTGACTTTCCCTTCGCTTTTCTTCCGTTCTCCCTCCATCCCTATATCCCTTTCCCATCTCCAAAAAGTCTACCTAAAGTTAAATATTGCATGGTTTCTCTCAGTGAGAAACCCAAAGTACATATCATTCAAAAAGCAAAATAAAAAAAATAAAAGGGTTCTTACCCTTTAATTCAACACAAGAAGATTACTGAAATGACTTGGATCTGGTATCATAAGTGAATCACTAGTTTGCAATTTACAGGTGCATTCATTTGTAGATTGGTGTATTCATGAAACAATACCAGGCTTTGTTTTGTGTCCCTCTGTCCCAAACCATTCTGTCATTCCCAGACCCTTACACATCCTGTGCTGCTCCCTTGCATCCTTTAGCTCAGCTGAATAAGGATAATGTTGGATGACAACTGCTGTGTGGAAGAGAAAATGAATATATATAATATCAGCACTCGCATATTTTTATATGAATTTTAATGTGGTAGATGTTTAGAATATATTTACTTATTGTTGATTAATTTATTTTGCCATTTAGAAGGATAAATGAATGTAGCCTGTTTAGAATTTTTTTTCCCTGTTCTACTCTTTTAGGGCAGATTTTTTTTTTTTTTTTTTCATGGTGCCAGGGATCAAACTCAGGACCTTGTGCTTGTGAGGTAGGTGTGGTGCCACTAAGCTAAACCCCCAGCACAGGGCAGAATTTTATAGTGCTTACTACAGGTATATTTGACTCCCTTTTTAGACCGCTTCATGAATTTCTCCTTTCCATTTTTTATCTTGTTCTGCAGCATTTCCTCCCAAAAGAAAAACATTTTTAAAAGCCCATCACTTTTGTGCTCACAGGCCCAAATTAGCAGAAGGGATACTGAGCAGGAGGGAAGGTGTTTTCACTCTCCACTTTTAGATTTCCATGAATGAATTAACTGTGTTCTAGACAGTAATTAGATGCTGGTTGTGCAACAAATTGTGCTTTTAGTCCACAGGTGTAATGCAATGTGTGCAGCTTTCTGCACAGCTCCAACAAGCTTCTCTCCAGAAAGGTATCTTAAAACTTTGTCACCAATCTCTGTTTTCCTTTGGTACCATCGTTTCCTAAAATAATTTAAAGTGTAAATAATAAATGTTTATTAAGCCATAGCATTAGTGGACTAGTGCTATGTAACAAAGGAAAATCCTGCGTCATCCATTAGTCTAGTTAAGAATTTCTTTTTTGGAGTAGGGGGTTGTACTGGGGATCAAACTCAGAACTTGTGCTTGCAAAGCAGGCAGCAACACCACTGAGCTAAATCCCCGGCACATCTACTTTTCATTTCTTTTCTTTTCTTTGTTTAGGTACCAGGGATTAACTCAGGACCCTGTGCTTGCAAGGCAGGCGGCAGAACCACTGAGCTAAATTCCCAGCCCTTCCTGCGTTAGTCTAATCTCTTTTCTTTAGTATCTGTTTAATACCTGTTATATCCTATGTTTAGCTTCATTATGAGTATGCCACTTTATGAAGGATCATAGTAATTATGAATTTTCCAGATGCTAGACTTTGCTGTAGAATTTCTGAATTTTTTTAAGACAGTGCTGTTTTCTTTCTTCCAAACATGTATTTTTATGACCAGAAAATTTTTTATACTTTAAATCCTCAAAGAATCAATTTTTTATTCTGAAGGATGCACAGTTCACTTGAAAACAAAGTAGAAGGAAGCGGTGTTGGTAGGTGGTTTTTGTACAGTCACGCGTCACTTAATGACAGGTATGTGTTCTGAGAAATGCCTCGTTAGGTGACTTCATGTTGCGCAAGCATCATAAAGTGTACTGAGCAAAAGCTAAGACTACCAAGAAGCTGTAAGTGATGTGATCTTCTGAAACTGCCCTGCAGTCCATCGTACTTGTTGTCCTTCATTGGCTAAAACATCATCATGTGGTGCATCACTGTTTCGTTTCCTTGAATATTTATAACTCAGCAACTGTAAGAATGCTGAATGTGAATACATTGACTCAAAGATCAGCAACTGTTTCCTGTCTTGGAGCTGCCTAAGCCTGCTGTAGCATTGTCATCACAGTGATTAGCTGTAGGGTGGCCCAGAAGCCCGTAAGAGACCCTTGTGGCTGATACCTGGAAGAGGGCTCCTATAGCACCCGACACCAAAAGGCATAATCACTGTTAGACCTCAGTCAGAGGTTTTAGAATCAGGTCAGTCGGGTCAGTCTCAACTACATAGTGAGACCCTGTCTCAAAAAACCAGAAAGAAAGAGAAAATACATATTGTGGTTCTGAACAAAACTTAAGACGTTTTATATAAAAACTTCATTTTTCAGTCACCTTGTTTTTGACTTTCAAAAAAGAAAACAAAGATAAAACTATTCATTACCATTTCTGGTTAGCCCTGCATCATTCACCAATATTTCAAATAACTTTGGGTAATACAGCTGGATTATTGGAAAAACAGGACATCTTATAAAATGGTGCATGTAATTCTTTGAGAAAGGGGAGGAATCTTACTATTTTCTGTACTTAAAAACCATTTATACAGGGCTGGGAATTTAGCTCAGTGGTTTTGCCACCGGCTTTGCAAGCTCAAGGTCCAGAGTTCAATCCCTGGTACCCACCTCCCCAAAATCCCATATATTGGGTGGTTTACAAAACCATTTATACAAATTTATATTCTAGGAACTTGAAATATAAATGGTCAAAGGCTCTTGTTTTCTTCAAGCAATGCAAGGTCAGAAACAAAATGAGTTGTTTTCTTTATCCTGGGCTCAGAGGAATTAAATATTTTACCAGAGACCTAAGTATGGAAAAGCCAGTTAAGATACAAACATAAATTGGTCAGATCCCCAAAGCCTTGTTTTCCCACTCTCTGAAAATGATTTTTCAGTATTGTATTATTCATTCTAAAGATATTTTCTTCTTCTTCAACCTGAGCCCAGAACTTCATCAATTTTACAAGCAGCACACCAGTATTGTTTATGGAAGTCGTATACTACTGCACACCATATACAGCACTGAGTAGCATCCTGCTTTTCTTGTTTAATGTATGTATCCATAGGGAGATAAATGAGTTTTACTTTGAGGTTGTGAAATGCTTTTTGTTTCAGGTAACCAAGCAACCCTTCCTCCTATTAATATTAATATGTGAAAGGCAAATAACCACATTTATATTAGATTTTCTTGTCTACTTTTTCTCTTTTCACCTTAAAAAAGGTCAGCACTAATCCATCGTTAGAGCAGGTTTACCATTGCCACGGTAGTAGAAAAGATAAGAGCTGTATAAAACAAGAGGCCACAAACAGTCTTGCTCTGGGTTTATAAATGGATACATAAGTCCTTTATATCAGAGGCTCTCAACAGGGAAGGCAGACTTTTGCTCCCCCGGGACATTCTGTAATGTTTGGAGACTTTTTCATTGTCGTGACTGGGAAGGGACATGATGGGCACGTGGTGGGAAGATGCGGTGGATGTGGCTATGGGTCATGGGACAGCCTGGTACAGAAATACAAGTCCAGCTCAGTATAGCCATCGTGTCTTGGTGGAGGGTCTGGGTGTGTACCTCAGCGGTGGAGCACTTGCCTGGCACGTATGAGGCCCTGGGTTTATTCCCCAACATTGTGCAGGGTAAAAAGAGCATGACAGAGGATGTCTCAGTGAAGCCATCCTGATCTGCACAAAATAGATAAAATACTTGTTACGTCACTGAGTAGTTCTGTCTTGGTTCACTGGTTTTCAAACTTCTCAGCTGTAGAATTCTTTAATTATACAAAAGCTTACTTAGGAGCCCCATGAATTCAACATGTTAAAACAGAACTGGCCTAAAAGGGGGAAAGGAGCACAGACCTAAATGCTGTAAGATGAGTTAGATTTAATCATAAAAAATTTCAAGTAAATATAAAAGAACTAGTGTAACCTGCCTTGGATCCAGAGTTACTCTAGGGATATTGGGCCTGACAGTTTAATATTGCACTGGTAACTGCTTTACACCTATATAACTGGTTGCTTTTTCACTAATTCTTTTTATTGAAGAAAGTCAGTCCCTTGTTTCTCACATCCAGGTATGTAGTTAGCACCTCCAGATTGA